AATAACCACTATAATCCCTCTCCAGACTGCCTAATAACCATCACAATCCCTCTCCAGACTGCCCCACTATAATCCCTCTTCAAACAGCCTAATAACCACCATAATCCCTCTCCAGACTGACTGTCTGATAACCACCATAATCCCTCTCTAGACTGCCTAATAACCACCATAATCCCTCTCCAGACTGTCTGATAACTACCATAATCCCTCTCCAGAGTGTCTGATAACTACTATAATCCCTTTCCAGACTGTCTGTTAACCACCATAATCCCTCTCTAGACTGCCTAATAACCACCATAATCACTTTCCAGACTGTCTGAAAACTACCATAATCCCTCTCCAGACTGCCTGACAACCACCATAATCCCTCTCCAGACTGCCTGACAACCACCATAATCCCTCTCCAGACAGCCTGATAACCACCATAATCCCTCTCCAGACTGCCTGATAGCCAATATCAGGGCCGGACTGGGGATACAAAGCAGCCCTGGAAAAAAAATTTGTGCCAGCCCCATAAGTCACTGCGCCATATATTGTTGTGTGTAATATGTAAGGCTATATAATATACATTTACATATATATATATTGCTTTTTCTAATATAAAATATTGGTTCTTTCAGGGTAAAACGTTTAATTATACAGTAAGCATACTCACATGCAGACACAGGCAATTTCACTGACATCTCAATGACACACACAAGCTCATTGATACACAGCCTCATAGACAAACAATCTTTACTGATATACATCAGCTCATTGACATAAAAACACAAGCTCACTCACTAGCAGGCACACGCATGCAAGCAAGCTCACTCACTAGCAGACGCACACACATCTTAATGTGGTGGTACTGGTGTCTATAGCATGTCCCTACAGGCTTTTCAACGTAAACACTGACTTTTCAGAGAAAAGGCAGTGCTTACATTGCTTCAAAGTGACACTGCTAGTGACAGTCACTCAGACGGTCACTAGAGGTGCTTCAGGGCCTCCACACTCTGTAGGTGCTGAACGTTCCCCATAGAGATACATTGATTCAATGCATCTCTATGAGGAGATGCTGATTGGAGTGGCGTTTTGCAGCCAATCCAATGGCAAAGCATTGGATTGGCTGAGATCATCAAGCTTGATGATCTCAGCTATAGAGACAGGGCCAGTCGAGGGTAGACCAGCACACTGCGTGGGGAAAAAAAAAAGGTGAGCAAAAACACTATTTTTAAACACACATTTACACCATGACAGACACAGAAACACACATATACCATGACAGATACACACCCCATGACAGACACAGACAGACACACACACCATGACGGATAGACAGACACACAGACACCCCATGACGGACAGACATACACACACACCCCATGATGGACAGACAGACACACACTCACCCCTTGACGGACAGACAGACAGACACACACACACACCCCATGACGGACAGACAGACACATACACACCCCATGACGGACAGACAGACACACACCATACAGACAGACACTATGACACAGACAGACACTATGACACAGACAGACAGACACACACACACAATGACACAGACAGACAGACACACACACACACCATACAGACAGACACCATGACACGGACAGACAGACATTCACAACATACATACAGACAGACAGACACACACACCATACATACAGACAGACACCATGACACGGACAGACAGACACACACACCATACAGACAGACAGACACCATCACACAGACAGACATTACTAGTACCTGACACCAGGGGGAAGTCTTCTGGCGGCCGCTGGGGAGGTCTTCTGGCGGCCGCTGGAGGACTTGTCCTGGCGGCCGCTGGGGGGAGCTGCGCTGTCTGTGCTCTCCCGCCCTCGCGCGCTGCTGAATGAGACCAGCGCCGGAATATGACGTCATATTCCGGCGCCGGTCTCATTCAGCTGCGCGCTGGGGAGCAGAGCCAGTGCAGCTCCCCCCAGCGGCCGCCAGGACAAGTCCTCCAGCGGCCGCCAGAAGACCTCCCCAGCGGCCGACAGCAGACCCAGGTGTCTGCACGGCCCCAGGAGCCGACGGCCCACCGGGAAATTTCCCGGTATCCCGGTGGGCCAGTCCGGCCCTGGCCAATATATAAATATTGTGATTGATAGGATATTTGGGATTCTGCTGATGTACCTATAATAGAGGACAGAACATAGTGCAAATATTGCTACACACTATAAAACCGCTGGTAAAAAATATGCACTCACATATTCCAAAGAATATAAGCGTGTTCAGGGTGCCTCCCCCTAAGTGTGAAAAAAAGGGCGGGTTATTCTCCTTTGATTCTCCCTCCTCAAGTGATAGCCAGTGGGGTATCCGGGTCAGCAAAAAGATCCAAGCAGATGCAACCAAAGGAATACTTCAAAGGCGATTTATTCACTTATAAAATTCAAGAGGTATATATAAAAATACATAAAAACAATATAAGAAAGAGATGCTGGTCCTACGCGTTTCGTCCTTATACAAAAGGACTTCCTCAGGGACCTCTTTCAGCACAATATTCAATCACCAAAATTACAATATATAAATATAAAAGAAACAAATTAAAACCAATGTGGCTTAGTAGAGAAGTAAAACAAGAGATTCAAAATAAGAAAAGGGCACTTAAAGCATTAAAATCGGACAAATCAGATGCATCTTATAAAAGATATAAGGAAGCAAATAATGCGTGCAAAAAGGCAATTAGGCTTGCTAAACTTCAAAATGAAATAATGATAGCTAAAGAGAGCAAAACCAACCCCAAAGCATTTTTTAAGTACATAAATTCTAAAAAAAAACAAAAATGAAAGTGTAGGCACACTAAAAACTGAAATGGGGGTGTTAGTTAATGAAGACCAGGAAAAGGCAGGAATTTTAAATAACTATTTCTCCTCTGTATATAATAAGGAAGAACCCATGGCAATAGATGTGCAAATGATTGCTACTAAAAACTTGCAGAATAATTGTAATTGGTTAACTCAAGACAAGTTGCTGCAGCAACTAAAGAAAGTTAATATAAACAAAGCTCAAGGGCCTGATGGTATCCATCCATGTGTACTTAAGGAACTAAGTGTAGAAATAAGTGAACCTCTGTTTTTAATCTTTCAAGATTCTTTTCTTTCAGGAAGTGTTCCGGAGGATTGGAAGAAGGCAGTTGTGGTTCCTATATTTAAAAAGGGTTCAAAATCCTTGCCTGGAAATTATAGACCTGTGAGCTTAACTTCAGTGGCTGGTAAAATTTTTGAAAGGTTATTAAGGGATAATATTCAAGAATTCCTTGAGAAGAACATGGTTATCAGCAAAAATCAGCACGGTTTTATGAAGCACAGGTCATGTCAAACTAACTTGATTGCGTTCTACGAAGAAGTAAGGAGAAGTATAGATCAGGGTGTTGCAGTGGATGTGATCTATTTGGATTTTGCCAAGGCATTTGATACAGTTCCACACAATAGATTAGTGTTCAAACTCAAGGAAATCGGTCTAGATGAAAATGCTTGTTCTTGGGTAGAACATTGGCTTAAAAACAGAGTACAAAGTGTTGTCATTAATGGTAAATTTTCAAGCTGGACAGAGGTGGCAAGTGGTGTCCCTCAGGGGTCTGTTCTGGGACCCCTTCTATTTAACATGTTTATAAATGATCTTGAAGACATCATTGAAAGTCATGTTTCAGTGTTTGCAGATGACACAAAACTTTGTAAAATAATACAATGTGAGCAAGATATTACTTTGCTGCAGAGGGATTTAGATAGACTGGGGGACTGGGCACTCAAATGGCAGATTAAATTTAATATTGAAAAATGCAAAGTTATGCACGTCGGCGTAAAGAATACACAAGCAACGTATACCCTTAATGGATAACAACACACGAAAAGGACTTGGGACTTTTTATAGACAACAAACTATGCAACAATGTGCAATGTCAATCAGCAGTGGCCAAGGCCAGAAAGGTATTGTCATGCATGAAAAAAGGCATTCATTCTCGGGACGAGAAAATCATTTTGCCTCTTTATAAATCACTGGAAAGACCACATATTGAATATGCTTTGCAATTTTGGGCACCTGTTCTAAAGAAGGATATTATGGCACTAGAAAAAGTGCAGAGGCGGGCTACAAAATTAATAAAAGGAATGGAACATATCGGCTATGAAGAAAGGTTAACAAATGTAAACCTATTTAGTTTAGTAAAACGTCGCCTGAGAGGGGATATGATAACATTATACAAATATATTCGGGGCCAATGCAAACCATTGTGTGGAAATCTACTAACCGGACTTTACATAGGACACGAGGCCATGCGTTTAGACTGGAAGAAAGAAGATTTTGTCTAAGGCAAAGGAAAGGTTTTTTTTTACTGTAAGAACACTCAGGATGTGGAATTCTCTGCCTGAAGAAGTGGTTTTATCAGAGTTCATACAGATGTTCAAACAGCTACTAGATGCATACTTGCAAAAACAGAATATTCAAGGATATAATCTTTCAATGTAGGGTAATAACTGCTTGATCCAAGGATAAATCTGACTGCCATTCTGGGGTCAAGAAGGAATTTTTTTCCTAGCTTGTTGCAAAATTGTGCTTCAAACTGTTTTTTTTTGCCTTCTTTTGGATCAGCAGCAAAAAACAAATGTGAGGAAGGCTGAACTTGATAGACGCAAGTCTCTTTTCAGCTATGTAACAATATAATCCCTCTCCATACTGCCTGCTAACCACCATACTCCCTCTCCAGACTGCATGGTAACTACTATAATCCCTCTCCAGACTGCCTGATAACCACCATAATCCCTTTCCAGACTGCCTAATAACCACCATAATCCCTCTCCAGAGTGCCTGCTAACCACTATAATCCCTCTCCAGACTGCTAGCTAACTACCCTAATCTCAATCCAGGCTGTCACCTTACTACCATAATCCCTCTCCAGACTGCCAGCTAACTACCCTAATCTCAATCCAGGCTGTCACCTTACTACCCTAATCCCTCTCTGGACTGTTATATGAATTGCTTCACTGAAACAAATGTCTTTCTATGCACAAGTCTAGTGTAGATATCAATTTGTAGGTTTGCGATGTATTACCCTTTTTTATATGCAATATTTTCAAGATATGTCTTTCTTTTTGTTGTGCTCAGCTGGGGAAAAAGCAAATCACAGCCAAAAAATAAATCCCTATCTAGTTCTGGTTTCCAAACTTCAAACTCTTGATTATTGACCTGCAGTTACTAACATCTTCCCCTACAGATACTGTCTGCATCTTAGTGTTCATCCAATTCAATGCCATAGCAACTGCTACAGCTGGATAGTGTAATCTTACATGCTGCATGTACACTTTTGTGATTGGCCCTAGATGCCAGACACTGGGCAAATACCTGGTTAACCAACGTCTTGTTACCAGTTTCCACCCGTGCATAGAATACAGTGTCTGTTGTTTGGCCAGTACAAGTCCTCCCTGCATCATCAGGGTCACGTGGGTGGGAGTTAGACTCAGAAGAGCTCAGGGAGCATGGAAGATTTAGCACCAGTCACTAAGATTAGTGACACATTTAATAATTAATGGTTTGTTGGTACATCTTAACAACAACGGCATAAAACCCATGGTCACCTTCAGAATTAAGTTCCCAACCCAGTCTTCAAAGCACACAAATGGTCGTGGTTTTGTCAGTATCACCATTGGAACAATCCTGGACTGTAGGTGTGTCATGGGGACCAGTAATCTACAGTGCCCAATCCATTCCCAATAAAAAATATATATACACTTTTTTTTTTCTTCATACTTTACATGAGTATGAGACTACCCCCCTCCAAAAAAAGGAACCTTGAATTTTTAAATTCTTTGAGCAGAATATATTATCAAACCTCCCCACAAAAAACAAAAAAAATTTTTCTAGAAATTGAGCTAGGATGCTAATTAAACTAGACCACACACAAAATAATCCATCAGCCTTAGGAAGGACCACTATAAGCACCCAGACCACTTCAGCTTAATGAGGTGGTCTGGGTGCCTGGTCCATCTAGGGTTAACCCTTTTTTCTATAAACATAGCAGTTTCAGAGAAACTCCTATGTTTATGTTAGGGTTAATCCAGCCTCTAGTGGCTGTCTCATTGACAGCCGCTAGAGGGCTTCCGCGTTTCTCACTGTGAAAATCACAGTGAGAAGACGCCAGCGTCCATAGGAAAGCATTGTGAATGCTTTCGTATAGACTGGCTGAATGAGCGCGCGGCTCCGGCCGTGCATGCGCATTCAGCCGAAGAGGAGGAGAAGAGGGAGGAGAGGAGGAGGAGAGCTCCCCGCCCGGTGCTGGAGAAAGAGGTAAGATTAACCCTTTCCTCACCCTAGAGCCCGGCGGGAGGGGGACCCTGAGGGTGGGGGCACCCTCAGGGCACTATAGTGCCAGGAAAACGAGTATGTTTTCCTGGCATTACAGTGGTCCTTTAAGGTCAATAAATTATAAAATGTTTTTATAAACATATGTAGTAAAGATAGTAATGTAAAAATAACGTGACCATATTTTACACTACCCAGTGACTGCTAACATTAGGTTTACATTTCCCAAATGTTAATCCAGTCTTTGGAAATTCAGAACCAAAGATTACTACTCATTAAAGCAGTCAGAGATTACAACATACCAGCATGGTCAAGAGTTTTAAATCCATTGGTGGATATAGAAAATCCGACAAATTATCAGAAAAAATTAAATTGCTACTAAATGTGTGTAGGAACCAGCGATCCATATCTATCAGTGGAATCAGACATTTCAACCGGCAGAAGAACCGGAGACTTCAATCCATCTTTGGAACTAGAAATGGATCATATTCATTAGTCAAACCAGAGATTTCTACACTTATGCTACCCATCAGAAGATCTGCAGAACCTGGTCCCATCAGTGGATCCAGAGATTCCAACACATTATCAGTACCAGAGTATCTGATAAAGAAAAGATTTCTAACTAGAAGCAAAACCAGAAATTCCCACCCAATATAGGAACCATAAATCGGTCCATATTCAGGGTTAGATAGGTATTGTATTTCAGACATTTATAAACTACATTTCCCACGATACTCAGCCAGAATAAACTTTGTGAAATATAGTTGACAAACATCTGCTGTTTACTGCTCTGAAATAAACATAATATTTCACTTTTTAAAGTATTTTATTAATGTCTCATATTATTTTAAAAATTACATAATGCATGTTAAGGAATATTCCCATAATCCCATAGTGAATTCTATTTTGTGTACACACAACATGACAACTTAAGTTGGCAGCAAATTTGTTCATAAATGTTCCTGATCACTGGAAACTGAGCCAGCATTCCTCTAATAGAATCCCATTTCAGAGGAATGTTTCAGTGCTGAAAACAGACTGTCAGAAATTAAAACATGGAATTATTATAATTAAATGCATTTACGTTTGTGTCATGATATGATTTTTTTTTTTTTTACTGCATGTAAAAATGAAATTGCTCACTAAGTAGACGAAAATTAAGCATTTTTCTATAGTGATGACTTAAGATCTTAATTTTGACAAGTATATTATTTCATCATTGCAAATGTTAAAGTACAGAGAGTACCCTATTTCTCCCCACTGAGATTGGCTTAAACCTGCACAGATTTGCAAAAATAACTGTGGCTATAAGCCTGCCCCTGTCTGTCAGAGATTAATCAGCAAACTACAGAAACAAATTTTACAAATTAAAAATAAATTTCCTAGTTTTCATGTATACTTACACCATGTTGTCCTGATAACGTAAAATATCATGTAGGTATGCTGCAACCTTTTGTCTCAACTTCCCATTGTAGCATTTAGATTGTAAGCTCACTGGCTTCAGTAAAGCACTTTATTTAAAAGTGCTGTAAATGATAGATCTTGTATGCATCGACCTTTTCTGTTTCACGTGATCTATGCATACTGTTCTGTCTGTCTCCATTTGTACACTGCTGCAGAATATATTGGTGCTTAACATATGGCAATATATTATTCGTAATAATATGAATATGAGATGGGCATATAAACAATTTACTGCTCCGCAAAAGACAAGAGATCTTCCTCGGAAGGTGTAAACCAACTCTCAGTATGAAGGAAACAGTGAAAAAGATGCATTGAGATGCATTACCAGTCATTAGGGTGGCCAGGCTAACAAAATGTCTCCAAAGATGTAAAAATAAAGTGTACCCAATAGCAAGTAACGCATGCTTGGCTAACAGGTCCTGCCAGGGAACCAAATAAACTCAGAAATGGAAAAACTAACCAGGATTATGGACAGTAGAGATACATAGCTACACCAGGCCAAAACCAGAATAGAGAGCCAAAACTATTATAAAAGGGACTATATGGTTATAAAGAATGAAGAAAAGGCACTGAGTAAGAGTGGTGCTGATTGTTCAGTGCCGCCATATTAGATTGTGCTATTAGTTACCTTGTCATGTGAGCAAGGACGATCAGAAGGAATACTACAACTTAATAAAATCCAGAAAGCGAGCACTCATCATTAACCCAAATACAATAGAACAGTAGAGATCTTAAATAAGATATGTAGTTGCTTGCTTGCAATGCCTAATGACTAGAAACTGTAATTTATCACCGACTATGATATAGAAATTCACCGTTTATTAAAAAATAAATAAATACACATTATGTGATACTTATTCTAATTAAATATTATGTGTACTCTTGTGCCCATGAGATAGTGTAAGTTACTAACTCTCTTAACTCTAGCGGAAAATGCACATTGAAGGGGAGAAAACAGACAGCCTTGAGCTCTTTTTCAAGTAGCTGCAGCTAATTCCAGGCTAAACTGGAAAACAAACTACAATGCAAAATTGCGGTTACATATCCAGTAGAACTCAAAATATCCTTTGCAACATCTGTCGAGATAAGTCCCAGTCTTTCTTCTACTTATCTTCTAGAAGAGAAATACTAAATGTAAAAGACTCCCAGAAAGGACAGATCTAAAAATGCCTTACTTGCCAAACCTTTAAGACTGCTATAGTGACCGACTATCCCAGATCTGCTGGGAGAGTCCTGATTTTGTACCACTGCTGGCATCACAACCTTTTAACCAAGTATCCCACTTCTGGGAACACCAGAGAAGAATCTTCTTCTTAGAAAGAGTGCTGCGATTTTTTGTTGATGATGTAATATAGACATTTTAATGTTAATAATGATATTCGAAAATGCATTAAAACTAATTTATACACCCATTGGCAAGATATGGTAAGCTATGGACAGATATCATTTTATGTGTCTGTGCTTTCCTTTTTTATTCTATTATTTATAAAATTGTCACTAGACAATCCAGTATCCAACTTGTCATCATGTAGAAGCATGAAAAATATCCAACATACATAGCACTCATCACCTAATTACTCTGACCCTTGGGCTGAGTCACATTATTGTTCTTTGGAAGTAAATGTAGATTTGTACAGTCATTAACATAAAGTTATAAAAAACGCACATACATCCCTTATAAGAGACACACAACTTTCCATCTTCTCAGGAGAAAACCATATAACACAGTGAAGACATGCATCTAAAAAGTAAACCATTCTATCTACAAAATACAAATCATTGTAGAGTTATGCAATGATACATTTAACTCATTTCTTTTGGCTTATTCTCTAAAGCAGTAACTGCAGAAAATTGAAATGCCAAAACAGACACAATGAAAAAAATTCCCCAGCTCACCTATTTTTTTCCAAGCTCTGTTTTTTTTTTTTTTTTTTTTTACCTAAAGCAATTTCCTTGGTTCAGTGAAAAAAGAAAAGTTGTTCATTAAATATTAAATCATTGTTAACGGCTAAAATCAAAATTAGGAAAATATAGAATTAAAGAAGTTACACGCACACGTGTAAAACAGAAAATGATCAATTTAAACAAATCTGTATACTTTAAAAATATTAGTCTCATTTAGACTTTGGTATTTGTTTTCAAAATAATCGCAATTTGGATGAAAATTGTCTTGTGCAGCCATTCGTCCGAATTCCAAATGGCACAGTAAAATAATGAATTTTTGCATGCGGTCATTCGTTAATTTGTGGAAAATTGGTACACTTATATAGGATTACCAATCCATATTTAAGGGTATCACTACCAAATGACGGCGCATTTGTGTTTACTAATTAAGCAACAATCAATTAAACAACCAAAAGACTAAAAGTAAAAAAAAATATGTTGTACCATCTTTCTTCTGTCCTATAGAGCATTACAGTATGCTCTGTGAGAGTGATTATACAAGAGGAAGTCTTTCTAGTGCCTTCACAGGGTACACAAAGGGCTCTTAGTTCTTCAGAGTTGGTCACAAGCTGACATTTGTAGTACTCTTGATGCATTCAAGTGGAGCCGGAGGTGTAGCATTATAAATACACATCTATTGGATTTATTTGCTAAACAGTAAACTGTGGTAAAAGAAATCCTGAATTTGTATTACAAATGTAAACTTATAAAAGCCAAGACTTACATATAGCTTGAGAAGTTTTACAAATCAGCTGTTTTAACCAGTGATGGAACTAATGTAGAGAGAGGGCCTTGGTTCAAAAAAGTTTTTGTGCCCGCCCATTTAGTGCGACAGTGGCCAAAATATAGAGGCCCATCTGTTGTACAACTCCATCAATGCTATTCCAGCTAGGGATCTACCATTTGGCCATCCTTGCAGGGTTGTATTTGTGAGCAGTGTGTGTGCATTTGAATGTAATCATGTTGTTTTTGTATAATGTATATGTGTGCATGCAGTGGTGTACTTGTGTGTAGTGTTTGAATGCAGGGGTGTGTTTCTAATATTTGTGTTAGATTGCAGGAGTGTGTTTGCATGTTGTGTTGGTGTTTGATTGCTTGGATGTATGCACATGCACACATTCACTGCCACATACATACACACTTTTCCACACATCGATATACACACACTGACACATACACACACACTGACAAAGAGATGCACACACTCAGTGGTGTACCTACCACAGTCGCAGGGGTCTCTGCTGAGACTGTGGACCACTGGCATCACTTCAGGGCCGGAGCATGGGCACAACACTCCCAGAGCATGTGGTCGTGAGGTGAGCCCTGTGCTGATCTCTTCCTATCACTGTAGCGTGGCCGTGCAGACCGGTCTCACTGAGACAGCACTTTCTGTTAGATCAGGTACCGCTGTCAGAAGGTACAGGAGGCGATGGGGGAGAGACACATGGTGTCGAGATTACTGTTTAGTAGACAAAGCCCAAGATGCAGAGGAGTGCTGAAAGCAATGGACCAAGTACAAAAGGATCAAATGGAGAGAGTAGTTGGGGAAGCCAAAGGTCAGGACAGGCGGCACAGGTTCAGAGGCGATGGTACAGGCAAGAGTCAAAATCAGGATACGGCAGGTCAGTCACTGAAGGTCTTTACACAATCAGGAGAACAATACATCTGAGCGAGGAGTCAAGGGTGTACGAAGTTTAAATAGGGAGAGTGGGTGGTCTTGTCTACTTTAGCTCCACCCTGGTCTCCACCTCCTGTACCTTTAAAAGGCTCTGTTTCGGCGTGCACATTTTTAAAGATGGAGTTATCAGGAACCCAGAAAATAAATAAAAGGCAACAATAGTGCTCTCAATATAATATAAATAATCGGTAAGATGTAATAAGAATGATACTCACAAAGGTAGAGCAGGCTAACTGCTCTATGACAACAGCATCAGTGGTATGATCCCCACCTGGGATTCTTTGGAGTATAGAAGGTTAAAAAAAATGTTGATGCCAGGTTGCTTATAGAAGATCAAATAATAAAAGATAATGTTACGAGTATTAAATGAAGTAACCAAAATCGAAATGTATTAGTTTTAAAACAATTGCATACATCCAAACGTGTTTCGCCAATAGGCTTTTTCAATGGAGTAAAAACATACAACCTGACTTGTTTAGGTTTATATAGGAATGAAATTAATTAAAATTGGTGCCAAAATGTTTTTACCCTTTGACTATTATATTGTCGTATCGTGGTTGTCACGGTAGTTTACCCCTACACGCAAGATTTAGTTCAACAATCGACAGATAGAGCAGATACGGCTTACCGGACCTTAGAATGGCCGGACTCGCCATAAGCAGAGAATAGACAGAGTCAAGAACAAGCTGAGGTCAAGGGAACAAACAGACAGTGAGAACAAAAACTAGCCAAGGTCTGGTA